TTTCTCGAGAGCTACATCGTACATTTATTTTCGCTTTTTTTTTTTTTTTTTTTTTTTTTTTACTTCTTTTCAATTTTTCTTTTCTTTTTTTTTTTTCTCTATTTTCTTTTATTATTATTCTAGACCCGCAATAGAGAAAGGGTCAAAGACGAAGAATCTCGGGAACAAAAGTTTTGGGCTGCTCTCGTATATGTTCTTCTTATTCCTTCTTTATTCAACGACAATATATATTCTTTCTTATTCCGACTAAAGAACGGAACGAAACCGCCCCTGGAATTCTAACGCACGATTAACGATTAATGTCTTCCCTTTTTCACGTTCTAACCTCGAATAATACGAGACGAAAAACTGTTCTCTCTCTTTGAATAATTGCGTACTTACTTAAAATGACATTCTCGTGTGGACAGCTCTATATATATATATATATAAAGGGTAGTTCGGGTGCTTTGTAATAAATTCTATGAAACGATAAGGTCTTTCAGGAAAAAAAGAAATATAATTTTTTATTTTGTCAAATCGTTTACGACGAGTAATTTGAAATAATAAATAATAAAATGATCCTGTCCCGTTATCTATAATTAATACAAAAATTATTTTACATTACATTTAATCATTAAAATTAATATAAAATATCTAAAAGTGAAGAGTTATTCAAGATTGTTCTACGGCATCTGAACGAATGCATTGAATAATATAAATTGAAGAAAACAAGAATTTCTTCGAGATCGATACTTCTTCCGAATAAATTGCAATGATTGAAAATCATTCTGGATATACGATAGCGTTAAAGTGAACATTGATCAAGTAGCTTCGATCGCAAAATGTGGATTTGAGATGTATGTGGTAGAAAGGTGAATTCGTGGCTAACAACTCGCATGTTACCGGTGAGCAAATGCATCCTACTTACTAGTATTCCCGGCTTACCAGTCTTAATCCTAAAACCGAACTTTCAACGAAATGGACGTAGCTAGTAGGTGGTATGCTCTTAGAACTGAATCCTTGCGTATATGTAGCTTTGCCCATTCGTTTGTGGTAGTTTAGAGTGAGTCAGATCCGTTGGAATATCGAAGCTTAGATATACTGGTCATCCTAATTATATACTCCTAAAAAGAACTGTTGCTAATTATAAAACTTTAGTTCCTATCTCATTTATAGTTGAACATCTCAGTGATTATCTTTATGATCACTGAAAATTTCAGAATAAACGTATTGGAATGGAATATATTTGACTAATATTCCTTTCATTTCATATCCAAATTTCTTATCTATGATCCTAATTTAAAATTAATTGAATTTCTGTTCATGTAATGCTTTCCATTATTTGATCTCAAAATGAATTCATAGGAATAGGTTTAACGAGTACGAAGTTGAATGACTTTTTTGATAAAATTGTCAAATAAATTCTAAAGAACATGATAGTATTTTACATGTCACTCCTATTCCTTTAACTATAGTTTGTAGAATCTTTGGAGGAACATCGTCGTATGACGGTGTCGTTGTCGTACCCGAACCAAGCTCGGACAGCACGATCGAAAACCGCAAACCGTTAGAGCAAGGTAGTCGGCAGCATGTGGATCGTCTCAATGGATTACAACGTAACCCTGTCTCGTACAAGCACGGCGTACCGTTTTAATCCTTGCTGTACCTTAACCATTACCGAATATCTTGAACGAATACATAGTCGCGCGAACACATAGATAAATTATAATCTTTTTCTTTTTTTTTTCTATCTTTCAATTAAATTTTTTTGATAAATACGAGTAATATTTTTCTCTTATTATCTATCTTCATATTATTTTCCTCTTCCTAGTATAAGAAATAATTTATCTATTCGCATCAACAACGCATCTCCTCGGAACATCGTCTAAACTATCTGGAATTTCCTTCTAGCCAACTTCGTTTAATAAATTAATCGAATAAATCTCGTAGCGTGTGGAATGGGGGTTGTTTGTATCAACGAAGATGACGTTCATTCCATTTGTACAAATTGCTAACAATATATCTTATCGAACTCCGGTTAGGTGCATCATGGTCATTAATGAGCTAAGCGCCAAGCACTTCTGCGCATCCTATAATAATTCCTGTCTCCTCTACCTTGATTACACACAATATGTCAGCTATGTATTCGTAACTCGACAATGTTAATTACAAACCAGTAGTTTCCATCGAATCCCATTGATCAATCAAATTTAAACATACCTTTTTCGATATCTAATATAATAATAATTTCATAGGATAATTATATAACGAGGAGATAAGATATTATATTGATATTTTCTTTCGTTGTGTTAAATAATTCAACACCTTTCTTTTTTTCGTTATAATTTTCGTTTTCAATTATTTCCTTTTTTTTCTTTTTTCTTTTCTTTTTTTTTCGTCCAAACTACGGGAATATCGCAAGTGTTCCATTCTTTCAATGCAGTAAAGAATAGACCGAGAGTAAACTAAGCGTGCCAAGCAGCACAGGTTCGTGTTTAATATTTTCATACGCGCGGTCTTATCGTTGGAAAAGAAAACGTAAAAAAACGAAATGGAAAGGGGAAAAAAAAAGGAACTAAAAGAAAAAAATCAGGGAAAAAAGAAAAAAAGACGAAAAAAGAAGAAGAGGAAGAAAGAAAAAAAAATCACACACACACGTACGCACGCACGCATGGACACACGTGCACACGTTTACACAACAGCAGAGGCCAAACTAAGGAGAGGCAAGATACGAGGTTGAATTTTATTTTTCTCAGACGCGTATTTAGAAGGTTCTTTTTCATCGTTTCGCGTGGTGGAAACTCCTCGCGGTAGCTTTTACGCCGCCTAAGAGGCGTGGTTGATTACAGACACATACACACACACACACACACACACACACGCATACACACAACGGCGAAGGGTCAGAATTTTATTTAAACATTTCAAGCTCTCCCACAACCTCTTTCTTTCTCTCTCTTTCTACCATCTTTTCAAAATAAGAGGGAACAGCGCGCACGGTTTCTCTACTTTATATTATTCAACGCAGTGCCACCAAAGGTATGCATTTTCCCGTTGGATATAAATCCGCGTTAGTGGTGGTGTTGGTAATCGTTAAATAGAAAATGTCACCGAAACGCTCGCGAAATATTATTCCACGACATTTTCTTATCGATTATTCACAAACCGCGAAACGGGAATTTAGTTCTTAAGTTAAAATCTTCATTACTATATATTATCTAATGACAATTTATCTCTAAACTTATTCTATAAGTAAATATATTTCCCCATTTATATTTCGATGATATTATATTTAATTATATAAAATGATAATTATGTATTTATATATCCCCCCCATCCTTCTCTCCCGAAAAAAATCAATTACAATGGCAATGAAATTTTTTTAACAAGTTAAATCCTTATTGTTATTTCTCGAGAATAATAACAAAACTTATCTAAACGTATTCCCTTTGCAGATTATAATTAATAGTATAAAATGTAAATTATTCCTATGAGAAAATGTGAATTTTCTAGTGGACATGAAACAGTCTATAGGGTATTCATGACCATAGCGGATACGAGTACGCTGATGGTCTTAACATAAATACATAAACGTCCAGTCAGCGCAGAAACTCAGCAGCATCAGCAGCAACGGCTCGTCATCGAGCTGTAGTCACAGTCACCACCTCGGGAGTCCCATATACCCAGATCGGGAATAGGGGGATTCACATAGTTGACGGCATGGTACTACTACTGCTGGTACTGCTACTGTTGCTGTTGCTGTTACTGTTACTGCTGCTGCTGCTGCTGCTGTACGCGTTACTTACTGTCAAAGCATCAGGAGTGTGAGCATGAGAGGATAGGATTAGTGAATACTAGGGAGAGAGAAAGCAAATAGATAGACTGATACATAGATACATATATAGATAAAGAGAGAGGGAGAGAGAGAGTGTGAGAGTGGGAGGGAGGGAGGGAGAGATAGAAGCATCCGTTTCGGATGTGTATAGAGTACGAATGGTAAGCAGGAACGCAACGACATGTTGCTGTTACTGCTTGATGTTCTCAGATAGACAGAGAGAGATAGTAAAAGTTGCTGTGAATAATCTCATTTATATTTTATTTCTTCTCCCATTTTTACTCCCCTTCATCCCCAAATCTTATCTCATCAATCGAATCCAATAAAAATTCAAAGACCATATATTTAAAGGAATCTTCTATATAAGAAGATTCGATTAAACAAGTTCTCTTTAAATTCCCCATTTGTGTTATCAACTTACACGCACACTTTAGATTGAACTTTTTTTTATCGATCCAAGTACGCAATTCGTTGAAAGTAACTTTAACAACTTCGTTTACCATGGATTTTAGTATTAGAAAATGTGTCATAGAAACACCGTTAAAGAAAGAGAGAAAGAAGAAGAAAAAAAAGAATAAGAAGAAGAAGAAGAAGAAGAAGGTAGTAGCGTTGGGAGTATTGTTAGGAGGAGAGAACGACCGCGCGGAATGTCGTCTTCGTAGTGAATGCTTGGGAGGGGAGGGGTTGCATAGAAGTGAAGAGAGAAGGAGGATGAGGATGAGGAGAAATGGGTGGGTGTGTTAGGAGAGGAGAGGTGAGGGATAGTGAAGAAGGGTGCAGAGCGGTACCGGTGTACTTGGGGGTGGTACTGGAGGGAGGAAGGTGAACGCGCGTTCGTTTGAGAGAGAGAGGAAGAGGGATGGGTAGGGGTAGGGGTATGAAGAGGGGTAGAAGGAAAGAGAAGAAGGCATCGTTCGCGAGAGCCACAGTAGTCGGTGCGTGGAGCGCAGGCGTGCGCCTCCTCGCGGCTAGAATCCCGCCGTATTCCAAAGAGGAACACGCCACTCCGCCCCCGGCACGGCAGCCACGCGTCACTCTCACCCGACTGACCTCCTCCTGTCCCTAACTTGCTCCTTCGATTCCTCGCTAAGTGTTCAACAAACCCCTGTGTGACTTTAACCATTACAATTCGTTCAAGTTTAATCGTTGTTAATCGTTAATCTTTCATCAATCTCGTTCATTGTTTTTACGTTGATCGTGTTGTTCATTTGTGCGTGCGAGAAATTTAATCAGTCAATCCTAATTTTTCGTTATTATTAACATTAGTATAACCAACGTAACGATTTTTAACAAATATATATAAATAGGATATTCTTGTATATTTTTTCTTATATTTTATCTCTTAAAGTTACGTACACACACACACACACACAGGACACACATATCTCGAAATGCCGGTTACTACGATCGTTAGATTGAAGAGGATAAAACGATCCGAATTGTTATCATTGGGATCAAGAAAATAGAGATAATTGTCGTCGAGTGGTGGTGGTGGTGGTGGTGGTGGTTATTATTGTTAGTTTTGGAAAGTTCATTGGGGGAATGGTAAAGCAAAATCAACGCAGAGGATGCATTGTCGTTGTCTATGATTCGTAAGATCGATTTGAATAGAAGAAAAGGATATATGACGATGGAGAAGAATAGAACGGTGGAACGTTGGAAAAAGAAGATGATGAATGAGTGAGAAAACGAACGAACGAACGAACGAACGAACGAATGAACGAACGAGAGACCTCACCGACGCTCAACATAACGGAAATATCTGTGCTTTTGTAGAAATATGACCGAACGAAATAATTCTACAGACGGTGGGACGAGTTTCACCTGGGAGACAAGAGCATCTACGAATAATGGGGAAGAAGAAAGGGATGATTGTGTAATTCAATAGACCCTCACTTGCCTAACGTTTCGTGTGTTTTTCACGAAAGACAACCATATCCCATTTTACTTTTTCTATTTCTTCGTTTCTTTTTCATTTTTTATTCTTGTCTTTTTACGTATTAATTATTAATATCTCTTTTAGTGACGATTGAACATTCGAATGAAATCAGTGAAGAATATTTTAAACAGTGCAAACTGTGGGTTTCCCCGTTTTCTTATCTTTCCGACAATATTTACGGGGGTTTTTTTTTCGGGTGTATCTTATGATAGATATCAAAAGTTTAGATTTTTTTTTCTACATTTTTCAAGAAAAGTAAAAAATCTGTTAACTTTTTCCAATGCAACATTCTACTCGTGTTGTTGTTAATTGCATAGATTGAGAGATTAGTGTAAAAAATAAAAAAAAAAAAGGTTAGAGAACCGTATATGTATATGTATATGGTTAGATTAAAGTTGACGTTCGAAACGGCAACACGGCGTGAATCGACTATCGACCACGTGCCAAGGTTGGAAAAGTCCTAGACTTTCGTTTTACGTTCGACACACTTTTCTCTCTCTCCTTTATTTCTTTTTCTCTCTTTCTCTCATTGAATCATTACCTCTCATTGTCTATATTTTTCGAAACCGAAGCTTTTTTTTTCATTGTAAAAATCGAAAACAAGGGCCTTCTGTTATTAAAATACGCGTACATCGACGAGATACACTTTGTTGTTCTCTAGTTCTATAATCTCTAGACAAAATAAATAAATAAAATATATAGAAAAAAAGTTAGATTAATAAACGTTGTTGATGGTAGTGAAATCAAATTTATCTTTAATAACATTTTCGAAATTAATGACGAAAAGGAATAAATAATAAAAGAAACACGGACGATTATATAGTTTAGCGTTTTAGAGATTAGTAAAGTATATATGAAATATATATATAGATATATAAATAAATAAAAGTGTTATTTATACATTTTAATGTTTTCCAGTTAAAAAGTTGAAGGAAGTTACTAGTCAAGGATCATTATTCCATTGTTATCGTATTTATCTTGGTATATAAAAAAAAAGAAGAGAGAGAGAGAGAGAGAGAGAAAGAGAAGAATTTAATCGAGTGCCTGGTAAAAAAGAACTCGTGAATAATAGTAAATAAAAAAAAGAAAAGAAATAGAAAACACGTACGTCTAAAATAGAGTATTATAGAAAAAAGGAAGGAAGGAAAGAAGGAATTCACATTCACGCACATTCATCTACTTGTACACACTCACATACCTACCTACACACATACACACACGATGTAGAATAAAAACGGTCGAAGTAGACGGTTTTAAAGTGGCCGCGAACATATCGATCTTAACCAAGTGCAACATGTCCCGAAATATCCCGATAAGTTACACCGACGAGTACGACGTGAATGTACGGATCTGCGCGCGTCGAGTGGCTTCGTGAAATACGCGATAAAACGTAGCCAAACGTTTTCCTCTAACAGAGAGATTCGCTTCGTTTCGTTTCGTTTCGTTTCTCGTTTCGGATAATGCACGGCTGGGAAAGAGACAACTGATAAAATTCGATCTGTTGATCGATAAGAATTCGAAAGGGAAAGAGAGAGAGAGAGAGTTTGGACGTCGATCGAATGGATCGAACGTGCCGGCTTCGGAGGATCACGAAGCCGGGCACCTAATCCAAATGGGCGAACCGAAACCCGCTTCGTCTCCGCAGCCCAACGGCGGAGTAAAGCAAAAACCGACTAGCCTAAATCTAGCCCCTGGTCCAACTTTCTATCGTAACGTTAATGGACGAGCAAGCCTGAATGATCGTCATCTACAGCACGTCACCGCTATCATCAGCGGTGGACACCCGGCACGCGTCGGCAAGCCTATCTCACCGAGTCCCATTCACGTTAATAACGAGCCCGGTATTGGGGATACAACATCATCGAATACCAATCACCAATTATCAACGAATTTACACTCGACAGGAGTATTGCTCCCAGCTTGGGCTCTTTCTGCGGAACTTGAAAATTTCTTGGAGCCTCCGCCCCCACCAGCTCCATCATCACACCCTACGATACCGACCAGGACGAACTCACTCGGCGAGCAACAGCCGCAGCAGCAGCAGCAACAACAACAGCAACAGCACAATAATTTGCAATCATCTGCAATCAATCAGCAACTGTCTTCCCGTAGCCCGAGTCACAATGGTCACGGATTCCCCCTCTACACTCCACCAGCTCCAATACCAGCATCCGGGGCAAATAAAATTCGCTCTACTCCCAACGGATTACCACAACCAACAGCACCGAGACGTCCTCATAGTATTGCCGCTCCACCATACCATCACGGAATCACCTCTCTCCACCAATCATACGGTCAGCTCCCTTGTAGAACAACATCGTCGGCATTATCATCATCATCATCAACGTCATCATCAACAGCACCACCACCACCACCAGCATCAGCAACATCAGGACCAACAGCAACACCATCAGATACATCTTGGGCAACGATCGGTCCAACAACAAATTCATCATCAAACGGTATACCCGGGATGGTACAACGGCGTGCCCATTCGGTCGCCGGTACTCCAGTATCTCTATCCACCGGTTGCAACGACGACAATGACGGTGGCGGCGGCATCCCAATACAACAGGAATCAAGAAGCAACGGGTCAGCGCTCTGCAATAAGAACGGCATCACCGTGGTATCCTCGAGTCGCAGCGTTGTACCACCCCAATCTTTGTGGAACGGGCAACTTCAACAACCCGTACCTAGGCGGCCACACAGCATCGCCTCCACACCCGTTACAGGTTCAACAGGCACGCCTGTTTCATCTTCAACAGTTACACCAGCCGGCTTGTCCTCAGCCACTCGTATACCAGGCGAGCCCATACAATGGGGTTCCTCAGGGATGGTGTTGCACCAACCCATACCTCGCAGGGCGTATCCCTCGACCCTTCCACATCCACAACCACCAACGCCCACGACACAAGGGCCCGGCCTGAGCGTTCTTGTTAATCCTGGAAATTCAAACACTTGGACACCAGGCGCCGGGCTTCGCGCAAGACCCCATAGTATAGCATCGACTCCACAGGGTGCACCGATTCCACCAGCCTCGCCTTCAGACTCTGGCTATCGATCTTTACCTTCGTCTTCGAGCGATTATCAAATATTAAAATCGCCCTCGAGATCTCAACAGCGCAACAAACCTAACCAAAGTCAACAACAGCAACAACAAAGTGCAGTAAGACGTCTCTCTCTTCCATCTGCTCAAACTCTTCTTCGAACCAACGCACCAAGACCGAGTCCGACCTTCCACGGGCTCCCGTTTCGACCATTTACCTGCGGAGTTTCACCAAACGGTAATCCTATCTTTTTGGGATGCACTCATCTCCACGGTGGTGGTGGATCAGGAAGCGGTTCGGCCAGCGGTTCCGGAAGCGGATTCGCCACTGGCAGCACCGGCACCAGAACTTCGACACCGGCAACTAGTCCAGCGACGCCTCTGACTACCTCCCAAGCAATACAACAGCTACTGGCACAACCACGGAACGGCTTCAAAATCGTCGACGACAAGGTATCGCTCTTCATCGAGATCCTCGACACGCAAGAACGATTCGCTAAGGTCAGTGGTAAAGGTCCACGGCTTTGACGAGCCGCTTTTAACGAATCGCGAACCGCGTACGCGACCGACGATAACTCTTCCTGATCTTATTCAAACAGGGAAAATGAAAATATCTGTAGAAATGATTAATTACCACTAGTACCGCGCAATATATATTTCCCAAATTTCAAATACCATATCCCAAACAAAACGCAGATTTCCTTGCTAACAAAACGACAAAAGAATTTTCAGGATTTTGAGAATTGAAATATTACTCGTACTCTCTACTAGCACGGTACGATGACATTCATCGAACATGCACTACACAATCGTTTTGCAATGTACAACGAAATACCATACCAACGAGTAGATATCTCGATGTTCAGTTCTTCCCAGTGCTCGTAGCTGCTAGCAGACGAGTTATTTTTGATCGTTTTAAAATATTGCCTCGGATAAATCAAAGGGCGACTATCATCGTGATGGCACGATGCCTGGCTTGTATCGACTATCGATACGCAACTCGGAGAGACGTGTGTGCACTCGAAACTAACACGTGCACGTCTAAACTATTACGAACATGAATTTCATCCTCGCGTTCCTCTTCCATCTCCTCCTCCTATTTCCGAATATAAATTATCTATTAAAGGAGAGAAAGAGATTAAAGCGTTTAGACGGTGGGTATAAGCAAACGCGTTAAGAGTGGCTGGGCTGAGGTGGGGGAATACATGGTGGGTGTATATGGGGAAACCCTTATCGAATTCGAGGCTCGTTCGAGTACGGTCTAACTTACTTTCATCTTTTAGCTTTCTCGGTAATATAGCACTCTCCGGAGTACGACGTAGAAATAATCCTATCTATAGGGGTAACCACCCTTAGCTTATATTCGTTCTCAACTACGATCGCGAGTCATACATAAATCTGGTGATTTTGAAAAATAAATGAGACACCACCACGGCCTCCGGAGTATCTATTTTAATGCTCGATCGATCTATAGATCGATAGATAGATAGATATATAGATGTATAGATAGATAGATTTTTACCGCACTAGTAAAGTTTTACGGAGGAACCGGGATAAGTTAATGGAAGTGGTATATCGAATCCTTTCGAGAAACTTCTTGTTATAAATATTATATATAAATAGTTTAGTACACGTGCAGATGTGTGTGGATATGTGGGGATTCTATGTATGTATGTATGTATGTATGTATGTATGTGTGTAGATAGGTGAAAATAAAATCTACAGGATATACGAATTTCTAGTCTCGTTAATAACAATAGTTTCGAAAAGTAGTCATCTTGCGAGAGTATATTATTTCTATGCAATATTTTGTATATCGATTTATAAAATAAAAATACGAAATTCTCTCGTAGCTACGGATTTGTCGAAACTTTCATCCGATTTAACGGCACTTTTGACTGGAACGAGTATACATGAATGTCGTATACCATAATGCGTTACGAATGACACGATAATGTAAAAACTTTGTTTCGAATCTATCGTACGGAACGAGGAACGAAATGTCACGAACGAAGATGATGACCGTGTTAGATGGTTATTTTTTTTTTTAATTTTATTTGCTTAATTTTACCTCGCATATATAACGAGTATACATATCGATCACAGTTTATCCGTTTCGTAGAATATTTCTTTTTTTTCTTTCTTTCCCCCCACACATTAGTTATAATAATTTGTATATTTCATATTTGTATGTGTATGATATTACATTACAAATATCGACGTATACGATTTCTACAAAACGTTTTCTGTAAACTCGAAATATTTGTTTGTTCAAGACGAATTTTGACTCATATATTTCGTAACAAACTACCCGCATTGTATATGTATATTCAAGTACACATACATATACATATATATACATATATTGTAAAACAAATTTCTGGCCATTTGTCGGCCAGAGAGTATCCAAAGCTTTCTCCGAGAATATGCTTTCTCGTGCTTTTTCACGACGCGGTTAGGAAGAGAAAGCCTCTCGTGCACATCCCTCCTTTTCATCCTTTTTGCGAATAATTTTGTAGATTACACTTTTCCTACCATTCTCTTCGTCGCTCCTGTGTTTGCTAGTATAAACGGTCCTTTTATAAAGGATATCTTTCAGAGAAAGAGAGAGGGCGAGGGACTGTGAAGAATAAAGAGGGGGGGGGAGGGGGGGAAGAAGAAGAAAAAGGCTGCTTTCAAAAGGACCTTGGAAGAATTACACGAGTTTACCGATTTCTTCTTCTTCTTTTTCTTTTTTTTACTCTTTGCATTTACACTTTTCTTTTTTCTTTTTTCGAAAAAGGAATGCAGAAGGAACGATAATGAGATTGTGCAGTTTGTCCGAAGGTAGACTAGGTTGGGTGGGATGGGTTAGGGGGAAGAGGGAGGAGGAAGGTAGTTCGTCTAGCGATAACGTCGACAGGAAAAGAAAAAGGAGTAGTTTCTTTATTTCTTGAAAAATATATTTCCGCTCGGAGACTCGAGACACTAGACACCAACCCCGGACACCCTCTTTTACGTGTTGTAAAAACTTTCACGCTAGCTTCTCCTTTTTTTTTCTTTTTTGTTTCTTTTTTTTTTCTATCTTTTGCTTTCTCTTTTAGTAAGACTCAACCCTTTTTTTTATTATCTCACCAAGTTCTCGTACAAATTTACAAAGACTATCCAACAAAAATTTGTGGTAAAAAATATTTAGGAACGAAATTGTTTTTTTTTTTTTTTTTTTTTTTTAAATCAAATCGATTAATTCATTAAAAATAATAATATCAATTGGATTTATTATATATTAAATATCGTAAAGAAAATTTTCACTCTCGTACAAATATTTATCTTGATTTAATTAAAAATAAATAAAATAAATATATATATATATAAGAAGTGTTGTGCGTGTGTATAAAATATACATATACTCACGTTATTCGAAAATACGTGGGTGAAGGGAGGGTGGGAAGGGGGGAGAGAAAAAAGTATGCTTAGAAAAATTCGAATTCAGCGGCAATTCTAGAAAGAGAGAGAGGCAGTTTTTCCAAGCCTCAAGGAAAGTGCAACGAGTCGTGAGTCGTGAAGTATTAAGTACCGCGAAAATTAGTGGTAAAAGGGAAGATTAAATTCTCTAGTAATACTAAGCTTACATTAGACGACTAGACTGTTTTCTGTCTTTTCCCTTGACTCGAGTTTGTAGTCGTCGTTGTCGTCGTCGTCGTCGTCGTATTGTTGTAAACTAGCATTGCTCATTTGCTAGCCACTTAGAAGTACTCGAACAGCGGTAGATCTCTAACATAAATTGATTCATCCTTTCAAAGAACGTGCAGATATTCTGAAAGCTTTTACTAAGTTATCTTTCTCTCTCTCTCTCTCTCTCTCTCTCTCTCTCTCTCTCTCTCTATATCTTTCATTCATAACTATTTCAGTTTTGATTATTATAGAATGTTACGATCTCTCGATGTCTCCTCTATAATATTCAAATTGTGAGAGTGTAAGATCGGATAGTGCAAGCAGATACACTAGGACACGTTTGTGAATGTCCTGAAGCTAGCGAATAGAATATTAGTTTCCAAGTCAGCATCTAAGCCTAATGGAACCCTTAATATCGTGCTTCAAAGCGTAAGAGACAGGATTCTATCTTCATATTTCCTTTTCTCTCTCTCTCTCTCTCTCTCTATTTATCTTTCTCTTTCTGTCTTTTTGGTTTATGATTTCGCAAGAGAAATAACTACAACCAAAAAAATACTGTAATGTAATGTGCACACTGTGTGTGCAAACCTCGAATGCAGATTTTGAAACGAGATTTATATTTTGGTTGAAGGAAACCAGAGAATGATAGAGAAAGAACAGTCTTGAATGTTTTCTTTTTTTTTTTTTCTGTTTTTTTTTTTTTAAGACGCGTCTGGATGTTATTGCAGTTACGATGAATGAATAATGAAACGACGTGGATCTCATGAATGGATGCCTTCATACGATTTAGTTTCTCTCTCTCTCTCTCTATCTCTGTCTCTGTCTTTCATGAATTTTGAAATTTATTATTTCTGATGTTGTTTTTCGCTAACGGTATTCAATTTCGAAGAATTTATTTAGTCGTTGTTTTCATGATTGAAAATTCGTTCGAGATTTCAACCCAGGCAGGTAGATTTTTTTGTTTTCAAGAAAAGAAAAACGATTTGATTTTTCTTAAAGACATTTTTTCGGATAAAATTATAGGCGAATTCGATCTTCTTGTAATTGGCAAAGCCCAAATTGCGGTGGTGGCCACTAGAACAGGAAGTTTCCGATTGCGACAATATTGGTAAGTTAGAACACACTGGGAAGTAAGTTTGTTGTTTAACTTTAACCCTAATTGTTTTATGCTATCAATATTCGGTATAATATTCACCAACCTTAAAGGAAATTGTTTAAAACAATTTTAATCGGGTTTTTATTTTTCTTTATTTTATATCGTCGATAGATGAAACTTAAATAAAGATGAGATAAATTTGCATAAGTGTGTTATGATATATTTTATTTTTAAATGAAATATTAATTAGAAAACAGTTAATTCTAATAATTACAATTTTTTCCAATATCCCTTTATTATTCGATGCACAGTTAAATAACATCTGATACAATTTTCCTTCCATTCCATTCGAATTTTATTTCAATTTATTTTTAAATAAGAATGAAAATAGGGGTGTTAAGGAAATGAAAAGAAATGTAAATAGATATTATTTGAACGACGACGATATGATCATTCGAGAAATTTTTATTCGGATATGGATAATAGTGTTGACACAGTTTAACTGTACGAAATCGATACTAGGTCATTTATTTTTATGAACTGTTCTAAAAAAAAAAAAAAAAAAAGAAAAAAAAACAACATGATGCTTAATAATTCGGGTTACTTATATAAAGGTTAAAAGGAAGATTGCTGAAGTCGTTTTCGTCGTCGTCGTCGTCTATCAGTTTCGATCGATTACAAGACTCGCGAGTTTCTAATGTAA